GCATCCTCTTCTACTTCCCTTGTCTCACGGGAATCTCGACGAGGGGCGCCGCCTCGCTGATATTGCGCGAGTCTCCCCCCTTTTATGAGGGTCTCGATGGCGTCCTTGAGATGGACACAATCTTTGGTCAAGTGCCCGTGGCTCCAGTGATACTGGCAGTACTTGCTTCGGTCTACCCCAGGTTTAGCAGAAGTGGGGTGAGTACACTTGACGTCGCCGTCCTTGAAGTCTGTATTTGCGCACTCCGCTAAGATGCGCTCGCGGGAAGCCATTAGCGGAGTGTACTCAGTGAACCTCCCTGAGGGCCCCCTTTATTCCCGGGCGTCTCAGGGTTTGTCGTCCCTCCTCTTCTCTCCAATTCGTCGAGGAGGGGCGGTGTCTTGTCGCAGATTACTGGTAGATCCGTGATTCCTTGGATCCCGTGCTCTGTTGGCCGCTTCTCTCTCCTTGTAGTCCATATAGGCTCTGGCCTTCTCGAGGAGGGCATCGAATGTCCTGGGTGGTTCGATGCCTACAACCTTTCTGAATTCAGTGCCCGGGAGGAGTCCCCTTTTGAGCAGGTATCTTTTCACGTGGTCTGTGCAGGGGACTTGGATGGCCTCCTGGTTGAACCGGTCAATAAATTCCCTCAGGGTCTCATCGTGTCTCTGGATGATGGCCTCGAGGGTTGCTTCAGTCTTTGGGTGTCGTCGTGAAGCAGTGAACGAACTAATGAATTGGTTCTTCAGATTTTGCCAAGAAGTAATTGACCCCGGGGCGAGAACTTTGTACCAGTCTATCGCAACTTTCCTCAGAGTCGTGGGGAACAACCGGAATTTGATCGTTCCCCCAACGTTGTGATAGTGTAGCATGGCTTCAAACCCGTCTATATGGTCGATCGGGTCGGCGATGCCGTCGTATTACTTTAGGTGGGGAGTCTTTCCCATGCCTGGGGGAATGGGTGCCTCCATGATAGCTTGTGACAAGGGACCGCGGGGGTCGTCCTCGTCACTCCGTTCTGTCGAGCGAGACAGAGATCTGATGTAGTGGCGGTCATGGTGGCACTGGTCACGCGGAGCGGTCCTCGGGCGGTATGAATGTTGGTGGTTTCCTCTGTTCCTGTCTTCAGGGGATCTTCGTTCTTGACGCGAGGGGCCGTGATCGCGCCTTCTCGTATCAACGGGTTATTCTCTCTCTAAGGCGGGCCATTGCCCGAGTGGTCGAGGAGACGAGCTTCAAGAGATGTCTCAACTCCATCTCCGCGGGGGAGATTGGAAATGCTCCTTTTCTTATCAAGGAGGATGAGATTGAGGTCTCCTGTGTCTTCTTGGGGGCCTCTGATCATCTTCGAGCACCCTCAGTCTTTCTCCCTGGGAGAAGATTAGGTAGTTCGTTTGATTGATTGCCACGAACAGTGCCCTGGCCGTGGCGTCTGCCCCGGCGGGGACGGGGGCCTCGTGGAACTGGACGTGTTGGTAGTTCTGGGGAGGTGGCCTTTCATCTTCAATTCGACGGGGCAGTGATGATGACGAAGCAGTTGCGCTGTCTTTATAGTCAGAAGGCCCGAGCATATTAATGCCAGGGGCTGTGTTGTAGCCGGTGGTACCAGTGCTATCGAGGCTGTCATTTTTGTCGATAGTGTTATTGTTGACGTCGATGATACAGACGTTCATGTTGTCTGGAGTCTGGTCAGCCATGACAATCAGGGATTGTTTAGCTTTTGGTCTCAAGTGAGTAGAATACGGGGAAGCAAGTTTCCCACAGACGGCGCCACTGATATTACCGGATCAGATATGGACCATCACAGTTGGCTCGGGCAGAAGTTGAATGAGATGGGGGTACCTGCAAGACACTCCGATGGCAAAGTAAGTTACGGAATAAGCAAGCAAGTATGAGTTTAGAGATATAAATTAAATACATGACCCTCTAGAGAGAGAGAGAGAGGGTATTTATAGCCCCCAACAATGGGCCAAGGTTCCCAATCTTGGGCCATGTTGAGGCCCAATAACAGGAACTTCCAGGGCTTACGTGTGTATGGAGTCCAGTAAGTGGGCTTCCCCTGGTCAAATGCTCTGCGAGAATATGGTTGGACCCGTGATTTCCAGAGGGCAGTTTAAGATGGTTGTCGTGGGATTGTGGGACACGTTCTCCAACGGTCGAATGAGGAGTTACCCAACGGTCCCTAACTTGAGTTGTCTTTGGGCTTCCCGTTTGAAGGGCAAGTGTAGACCCAATCCAGATCATTTACCAACCCAGTTACATGGTCATGTTTACCAAACCATGTTTGATTGCATTATTGTAGGACATGTTTACCAATCCATTTATAGGGTCATGTTTACTAAGCCATATTTATTAGTCATTACTCGTTAACACATGTCATTAGTATTTAACACATGCCAATATAAAAAATTTTACATGCCAATATTACAAGCCTATGGATTAAGTAAGACATATGATAACATAAAAAAGTAAAACAGTAACACAACAAATTAACTTGAAATATGGAAATTAACTTATACATTGAAAACATGTACTTGTTTATTACATCAAAAGGATAAGTTGTCCATAACATGAAAATGACAGCAAACTGGCATACATTACAAAAAACAGTAAATTAACACCCTAATTAAAACTAGTCTTAAGATGGTTGTGTATATTGTGGTGCCTGTAATGAGCTTCCAATCTCTATTGCACATGTTTTTATCTTTTTCCTATTTGCACCATTTGTTGCACATGTCTCTCTCTTATGCTTCTTTCCACCCTCTATTGCACATGTCATTGCATTATTCTTATTTTCATCTTTTGGAATGGCCCTGTCAGCATTCCTCTTTTCCTTACAACTTCTCTTATTATGTCTTATGGCTCCACACTTATGACAATTAATAGTTGTAAGTTTTCTAGGAAGCACATTTAAATTTCTGCGCTCATTATTGACCTTATTTCACATCTTTTTAGGACGCCAATTTCCCTTCTCAACACTAGTGGGTTGGTTGATACTTGGTCATCCAAAGTCCACAATTGTGGCCCATTAGTAGGATAGATTAGATGTGAGTAATTTCTATTGAAGGTAGTCTTCCAGCACACATAAAGTAATACACATGTTATGCATAAAATAAGCAACATTTTAAAACATAAACCGTTTAGATGGCATATTGATACTATAAACCTGTAATAATTAGAGACATTATTTCTTGATTTTCCATGTACATATTATTACAATGACTAAATGGGATTCCAATTAAATCATATTTCCTACATGTATCTATCTCTTGTTTTAGATTGACGTAATATATGTTATTTCTATTGGTCACACCATATAAGGCTAAATCATCATCGCCATGCTAAGTGAGAGCCTAATTTTATGCAAGTTTCTTGTTCTTCTCAAGCACCAACTGTATTCTAAGGAAAATATCACCAGTCTACTTATTCATGACCTTCTACTGAGTAGTAATCCTCTTAGTCAGATAATGTTTAATCTTTTCTACCATGGTGATTATTGATTTATCCTTATATTTTAGAATTTCCCTATTAAAAGTCTCAGACATATTTTTTTACCAGTAGGTCACATTTAGAATATGTCTTGAATTTCCCTCTCCCATGGTGGAATTGTTGTAGCCATTACCGCACTCAACTTAATCTCTTTCAATTCCACCCCCATGATATTTCTTCTTCTAATTTCCATAGAGATACTTCACACAAAGGTGTTGCTCCACATGTGCATTAACACTCTAAACTGTTGGGACTAGCCCTTGAAAACTAACACCAAAACAAGACGCAAGACAATATTACTGTTTAGGATAACTTATAAATTGATAGCAAAAACAAAAGACTATTGATTAAAGGAATACCTTTTTTCTAGTCTGAAATGAAAGCATAAACCTTATGATTTTATTTCTTCTAAGTCTTCAAAGAAAATGTATATGAACCACTCTCGAGAGTCTTTTGTCTCAACATCTACAATAACATAAGCAATAAAAAATGTTTGATTATTTTCATCCCTCCCTACAACTGCCATCAATTGCCTACCAAAATATCATTTTAAAAAACAAACATCTAAACCTATAAGTGGCCTATAATTTTTTGCAAAACCAGATTTGCAGACCTCTAACATACCTAAATCCTCTCAAACACTTGACCTTCATTAGAGTCAGAACATTGCACCACAACATTACTATTAGGATTTGAATTGAGTAACTCTTGTGCATAACTCCTTAAATAGGAAAACTGGTCCATTTCAGCTCCTTGGATAAAATACACTTCCCTTCTTTTGCCTCTATATGACTGATCACGAGACAATTTCACACCCCATCTATAAATAGATTTAGCAATCAATCCCATAGGTTTCATGTCAGTGTTATGTCTTAGAATATGTGCAAATTTATTGGCAAGCCATTATGTCCTTTCTTACCTATTATGTGTAATTCTATGACATGTGTATTTATCAAATATACCTGCAACTTGTCAAAATTGGTTCCCAACCCTCTTACTAATTCTCATGCAAAACTTGCAATCTTCCATGTAATTAATTACCATTCTTTTTCCATCATTTTTCTTCATCAAAACATTTTTCTTCATATACATTGCATAGTCATTCAAAGCACCCCTCACCATATATTTATTGTTAAATACCATACCTAACTAAAATTTGAATCTCTCACTACTTTTATAAGCTGAAAAATTCTCCTACTCATCATTATCTCCACTTTGAGGAGGTGTATGCAGTTGATCAGAATCATAAACATCATCACATAATTTTTTTAATCATAAACATCATGATGACCCATCTTTTCACTACATAAGAATATTATGGTTCAATCCAACTCAACATAATCCTCATTACACTCATACTCATTATCACTAAAATTGTCTGTCAACATCACTTCCAACATAGTCAACATCATCATCACTAAATTCCTTTTTATAATCACTTTCGACTTGTACTTCATCATCATCATTTCCTTTTTGTTTCTCTTCTTCATCAAAATCACTTCCTTTTTGTACTTTATCATCAACATTCTCACTTATTTTTGTACTTCATCAACAACATTATCACTTCCTTTTTGTACTTCATCTTTATTAACATTATCACTTCCAACTTCTACTTCATCATCATTAACATGATCACTTCCAGCTTCTACTTCATCAACATTGACACTATCACTACCAACTCCAACTTCATCATCATCAGAATTCGGACCACAATCACCATTAATAAGTACCTCATCATCATAATCATGTCCTAGTTTTGCCTCTTCTACCATATTAGGTTTATCAATGGTATGCTCTACATACACATTTACCAACTCAAATTCATTATCATCTTCAAAAAATTTAAGCACATCAGCCTCACAATTAAGGGGTTTAAGATCGTGATAAAAACTAAACCTAGGGTTCTAATACCACTTACACTTGATGTTTGCATATCCCTTATTTTTATTCAAACCTTCCAACTGCATATCTCGGGGTTCCAATACCACTTACACTTGATATTCGTATATCCCTTCTTTTTAATCAAACCTTCCAACTGCATATATGACATATTTCCAATTCATTTCAGAGGTTTCTCCAATAATGTACCATTTAACAAGGTTGTATACTAATTTTCCCCTATAATGAATTGGTAACCTAATTGTTTGAGCCTGAGGTAGTCTGGATAAAAAATTAAAATGAGTAATTAAAATAAACAATTACATTTGCATAATGGATCCACCATATGAATAAACAATTGACATGATCCATAATCATAATAATTAATTTGTGTGCATATGTGACCATATAAAACTCAGTTTATTCAAAATACCAAATGGGACCACAAGTTTCATAAAGGGGAACGTTAGTTTCAGAAAGAGGAACATAAGTTTCACAAAGAGGGAGGAACGACATAAAACCCTAAACCCAGAAAAGTAGAATATCACACACCTTAAACAAAATTTCACTTCTTTCTTGCCTTTTGATGATGCGTGAGGGATATATGTCGTGCTTCCCATTCGCGATCCTTCAATGGTTTAAAGAAAAAGATTTGAAATATAAGTTTTTCTAAGATTTAAGACAAAAATATAGGATACAATGCATCTCAGATGATGGTTTATTAATTGAAATGAAACTTCAAAGCTTCCTTGATGATGGATTTTTGTGTATGCATGACAACATAGCGGGTTGGGGACGAATTTTACCCCCTCCCAAAACTAAACATGAATCCTAAATAATCCTCGTTCCCCGCCCCAAACCCGAATGAGGATGGAGAATTAAAACCCAAATCAGTCCTGAACAGATTCAAATTGGGTTTTGGTATCCCCGTCCCGCCACCATCCATTTAGAGAAATCAATTTTTTAATAGAAATATTTATTTTTTCCAAATTCAAATTACATTATAGATATTAAAATAAAACAATCTCAAAAAGTTCCATACATACATTTCAAATATTTTAAATAATAAATACAAATTAAAATATCAAAACATTAGTCACATATTTAATATTCTAAATTATAACAACTAAATAATAATATACATAATGAAATAAACGGGAGGGTTTGGGTGGGTGGGTAATAGTGTCTCCATTACCCGACCAGTCCCCATATTTTATAATCGGGGAAAACTCAAACTCGAATCCAAACCCAACCAAAGTGGTTTTCCCCGTCAAATTTGGGGCAGGTTCGGGTGGGTAGTCCTATGTAGAGGTTATTTTGTCATACCTACTTATGTGGACAAATATGAAGGGATGTGCCTGCTCAAAACTAAGGTTCAACTGAGCAATGAGGATGAATATGAAAGGGTGAGAAATGAGTGAAGTAAGAAATATGGACTTAACTTCAATTAAAAACATCTTTAAGATTAAAAAGTATTAATTATTTAATTTTAATAGCATTTTTTGATACAGTGGGAGAACTGACTTGGGTGTTTTGTGTTTGATCGCAAATGTTGCGGTTAGCAAGAGTCGCCACCGACTTTTCTTTTATCCAAAAGGAAAGGTGAAAAAGCACAGGAAAGACCTTTCAAGATTATTTCTTAAGTTAGGGGGGTAGATTATGAAAAGGGAAGGTGTTATACCCCAAAATTTTCCCTCTCACTTATCAAGAATTTCCTCACGAGATCTCTTTGACTCAAGACTGCATTAGGGTTTGACCAGCTCAAGACATCTCCTCATGCACTGATGACCAAAATTAGGGTTTGAGTTTACATAAGGATTTTTGGACTATAAATACTTCATATGACTTTCAAGGATCATTAGGGACCCCCAAGATTACTCATGTCAAGTTTCAAGTCTTGAATCACACTTTTGCTCAGTCAATTGGACATTTGACCTAAAAAATCAGTTGTATTAGGGAAAAAGTCAACAATGGCCAATTTACAGTCAAAATTCATAATTTTTGATCCACATCAACATCTTAGGCTCATATGTATCATTTGGTCAAGTTTGGATCACAATTCCTCAAGAAACTTGACCAAATCATCAAAAGGGCAAAATGGTCAAAATTAGGGTTTTTGACTGAAAAAAGGAAATTTCTGATTTTTGACCTAGAAAATGATAAATTGGTTTGAAGCATGATTTCAAGAGTTCAATTGCATCATTTTGACCTAATAACATGATTCAAAACATTACAAATCCATTGGATTGACAGATGAATGTTTTAGTCAACTTATCAAAAGTCAACTGTACACTAAAAAGTCAAACTTTGACTTTTTGGTCAAAATCAAGTGCCAAAGATCATAATTCATCAAAACATGTCAAAATGTGAAACTTTTTCATCAAGAAATCAAGGATTCAAGATTTTGTTTTGAAAAGTTGAAATTTCTTAACTTAGAAAATTTTCTAAGTATAGAAAATTTCTTATTTTTTCTCAACTTTGAGCCAAATTTTCACCATGATTCAAGATGATTCAAAGGAAACTTCCAACATGAAACTTTTATATATCCACTAAATCTACAACTTTTCTTCACACAATTTCTCCTAAAAATGCTTGGATCTCAAGATATAATTTTATGAATACATGCTCATGAACTAAAATAACTTAGTGAAATTTTGTCCTAGTTAGGCAGATTTTTGACCTAACTTCATGCCATTTTTCCACCTAGTTCCAAAGGGAAATTTCAAAAGCAATTCAAATATGAGTTGTAGAGCACATGGCAAACTTTCCAAAATGTCCAAGAACTCCTTGAGATCATTTCTGAGTAGGGAGAATCGAAGAGATGAAGTTGGTGATTTATCACTTTGATTTCAAGCCATTTCATGATGAACAAAAATTCAAATCCTCAAGCATGCTGAACAAATCCTACTTTGCAGGCTTCTAACTTGACTTTCACTCCATAATTAAATTTTTTCACAGCTGTTGGAAGCTTTAAGCCAAGCATTGAATGCATTGTACACGAATAATTCCATTTTTGGGAGAAAGACAACATTGCCATTTTAGAAAAGCAAGCTTTATGCAAAGTCAGCTTGCATTGAGCCTTGCACTTGTTTTTTCTGCACAAACACACTCCCCTCAATCAGAACAAGCATGTTAAAAGGACTCAGCCCCCTACAAGCTGGGTACTACACCTTGGAACCATGCTTGCTAGCTTTGCTTCACAAACAAGAAACCAAGCAAACATGTGAGTTTTTGAAATCTGAGTTGTTACAAGACTTAAGACCTTTTGCTTATAAGTAGAGACATTGTTTGCAAGTTGACACACAAAGGCTAAGACTCCAAAACACTCTCAAACACTTTGCAACTGAAAATCTGCCATAGCTTGACAATTTTGAACCTTACACAGTCATCTCCAAATCCACTCGTGCGTATTGAGTTCTAATCACCCAAACACTTAATATACCTCATATCTAAGTGATCTAGACCCCTGTTCCCTCACTGTAACTCCTCTTCCACCATCCACAATTTTCAAATATCAAGCTTGCAGGTTGACTTGAGTAGAGAGATTCAAAGACTTTCAGGACAAAGTAAGGATTGGAATACACTCAAGGAAGTCCAGGCAAGCTAAACAGATCCTCAGGCCTCCTCAAAACTTGCTCAAACTCCATTCACAATCTCAGCTGCAAGAGGTAAAAACTCAAACTTCTATCTCTTCATACAAGCATCATTTTGTCCTGATTTGTGAAAGCAAAATATGGATATCCTTTCTCTAAAGCTAACCATGTTCATAGTTCTTATTTATATTAGTTGTGTATAGAGAATTTTGGATTTGAAACTTTTGCAAAAATTAGGTTTCAGATTAGAGCCAGTAAAATTAGATCTTATCTTTGACTTTTAGTTTACATAAATTATATGGTTGAACTCGTGGGAAGAAACACCATAACTTTCATGTTTGAACTTTCCATTTTTATGGAGAAATGAAGAAGATACAGGTGGTCCGGCCATGGCTCAAGGTTGAAGATGAAGTTGCCTTCAGGAGGAGTTTTCTAATATATATTTATGTTTGTGTTTTTATAAACGGATGTACAGCCACCTCAGTGGTAAGGCAACACGCGTAAATGCTAGAGGTCATGGGTTCGAGCCTCAGCGCGCTGCCTTTTGCAATTTTCTCACATTTTTCCATCTTTTTTGTCCCTTTACAGCGTTGGGCTTCCTGCTTCATGGGCCTTGGATTTTTTCTAACATTTACACCCTGTTTGCTTATGACACCCCTTGCCCATTTCATTTTATTTATTTATTTTATTTTTATTTTATTTTCTTAAATATATTTTTCTTAATATTAAAAAAATCATAAAAATATAAAAATGATAGATTTATAATTTGGCTTGTTTTATTTTATTTTTCTCACATAAAATATTTTTATTTAGTTATATATTATCTATTTTCATTAAATAACTTTTTTAATTAAATTAGAACTAGTTTAATATTTATTTTTTCTTTATATCCATTAAATATTTATTTTATTATAAAAAGGACCAAAAATACCTCATAATGCCATATATTATTTTCAAGACAACAAAATACAAAAAAAAATACTTTTTTCATAAAGAAACTTATTTTCTTTTAATCAAATAGAATTAGGGTTTATTCAAAAATATTTTCTTAAATAATTCCTTTCCTTAATTAATTTAAGTTAATCTTGATTTACTTATTTTCTAATTAGGTTTTAGGTTAAAGCTTTTCCATATAAAAAACCAAACAAAAATCTTCTTTGCATTTACATATCATTACACATTTAATTCACCTTGTATACTATTTATTCCAATTATTTGTATACTTTCAATTTGGTTGTAATAGATTAATTAGGTTTATATTATTGCAATCCCCATTCATAAATTGTATACCCCCTCCCACAAATGTTGTAATAGCGTAGTAATTTTAAATTTCATAATTTATCGCTTTTATATAACATGCTAGTAATTAGGGTTTGTATGGCAAGATAAAACCAATCAAATAGAAAACCCTAATCCAAGACAAAATCAAGCATGAAAATGACACACTTGCACACAAGCACCCCTAGGGTTATCCCACTTGGTTGCCTTATACAAAA